CCCGAAAAAATAACTAGGTTATAGTAATCTGTTTAAAATTGTTGTAGAAAAAATTAAAAACAACAAAAAAGTTTTTACTTTGACCTATAAGATTCAAAGCTTGCCGCCGACACTTTTAATTCTAGCTTAAGAAATGAAACAAAAAGTGCAAGTCAAAAAAAAATATAAAGAAGTAGAATGTGCTTTTGTGTTTATTGTATGTAGGTAGGTACTTATAAACAACACAATAATCGTTTCAAGATCGCCGGCCACACTTTTTTATTTTTAAATGGGTGCGTGCTGCATTTTTGCGGCGTACACAACCTCTATTGTATTAATACGATAAACCATTGGTGAAGAAAATAGACATAAAAATCATGTGTGTATCCGAACGTGCTCGCTGCTTGCTGCGATCAATGTAGTTTTGCAACTGATTCACAGAGTAGGATTTGTTTTTTAAAAAAAAAAACAGTAGTGTACAGCACCGTGCGTAGTCAACAGAAAAGAACTGTGAGGCTCATTAAAAAGACCGCGGTCATCTGCAGAAAAATTAAACGCTCCATTTGAGATGTGGTATTGAAAGTAACAATATTGTTGGTACAGTGTCCAAATTCATAGTACCAAATTCTGTCTAGATTTACATCAAGAAATACATTGTAAGTAGGTCTCTACAAATAATGTAATGATTAAAGTAAAATGAATACGAAATAAAATGTTTAAAATACCTCTAAACTTGTCAAAAACTTGGTTGTAACATAGCCAGATTGGCTTTATATATCAACCTACTTTGTCGGATCTTTAACCTATAAGCAAAAAAATATAATAATATTGCTACTTTCGTTGGAGGCATCTTTATGATCAAGGGAATATCTTAACCATGAATAGGGATGATGACTATTTTTTTTTCTTCGTTTATCAGGTAGATTATCAAAAAGTATTGGACACGTATTTTTTCTTTTTTCACATAATATAAACATTGCAGTGATATATTGATTTGAAAAGTCGCATGACGTCACGTTTGAGTACACTTATAAGTAAAAATTCACTCAAAAGTGACGTCACGAGCCCCTACTCCGAAACTTTGACGCGCTATAACTTTGTCATTTTTTGGTTGATTGCCCAAAGAAAAAATACGTGTCCATTATTTTTTGATCATCTAACTGACGGACTAAATAGAATTTCGTTTACTGTACCCCGTCATCACCCCTATTGTATCCAAGATTTCGCATCAAGGAAATATGATTTTTCGCTAAAAATAGTTTTACGTCCTTAGAGCTTTTGCTGCCTCTTGTCATCTGGTTGTGGGTCATGGCCAAGTTTCCCTATTCCATCCATAAGGAAGGCTGTGCCCCAGCAGTGGCGAGATTAAATAGGCTGGTAATGAAGATAGATATATCGCGTTATCCCACCGAAAAGGTGGTTAGGTGCTTTGCTGTTTTACAACCCTTTACAACACTTTCACATATATCTGTCCTATAGTATTTATACGTTCTTTAAAGTCTATGTACAATGAAAAAAATATCGGAAAATATGGGCGTGTGCGTTGATGTCTTTAATATGATTTGGGTATAAACTTTAAGACACATACATAATTTCCATTCGCATAATGTGTATTTTTAAAGATAAAAATGGGTTAAGCCTGCACTAATGCTAAGCATATCTTTTCGGTGCCAGCTTAAAGATAAGTCAGAAGTTATGGAAGTTACCTGTAGGTAAGTCGCTCGTTCGTTTGTTTGCTTGCGTGTGGGCAACTGCGAGCTGCCACTGTATTAATAATAGTTTACTAGGATTAAACTCAAACTCATTTATTCAGTCTAGGCTGTGACAAGCTCTTGTGAAAGTCAAACGCTACGCCATCGGTTCGTAAATCTACGGCGGGAGACCTCGGCAAGAAACTCGGCAAGGGCTATTTTTATCTCCCTGTTTTGTTTCATACAGTGTCGTCAATTGAAAGATGACATCAAAAATTGAAAACATGTGTTGATGTCAACTTCCATCACATTAATATTATTAATTAACAAAAGTTAAGTATAGCTAGGTACTATTTTTAAATTTAGAACTGGCGATTAACAATTTTCAACCAAATCAGCAAAGTAAAACGACTTTGTCTATTATACTAAGGTGACTTATTAGTCACTAAGCGACTAGTTTGGCTCTTAGTAAAAGGAAACCTTAGCTTTCAGCATCCTCAGAAAAGTTGTAATAGTCTCATAATACATATTAGGTAACAAATAAAAATGTGTTGAAGTACGGTAAAACTATTTTGAAGGTAAGTGCGTTGATGTCTTTTTTAAAGAGACTCATGTAACAATCTGCAAAAATCGTTTTCATGAATTTTATATCACAAAAAATAATCAAAATTAAATAAAGTTAAACAGTAAACACTATCATATATAAATATTACTAGAAAAAAATCCACGCGGATGCAGACACAGCAGACGGGACTCGAATCCGCACCTTTTGCTATCCGGGCGAATGCACTGACCATTATGCTACCGCGGCCCTGATGGCCGGGTCGCATTGTTTCTAGCTTTTATTAAGCTGCAAGGCAGCGCCATCTCTTCGCATTGTAGGTGACCCACAATGTCAAATGAATACCTTTACAAGTATTAATCATTTGAAACAAGAAAAAGCACTATCAACTTGTTTGCTCGATTCAGTTTTAAAGATTGTAGTATGAAATTCTACCCATTTAAGTCTTACCCGGCTGGACCGCGCTGAGAGCGATATGTGAAGAGCGGGTGGAAAGACCCCGACGACCACCCCGTCCTGAAGATGAGGTGCGATCCTGCAACCTCTGAAATGGGTTACGCCCAGAACAGATTTCTCGCACGACGAGTTAGAAGAGAGGAGCTCGATGGGGCAAGTGCTTAACACGTTCGACTGCGATCGTTGAATTTAAGCAACTTTCGCAGTGGTCGATCATTGGATGGGTGACCAAAAATCTGAGTTCCTCTGTGCTTCGGAAGGCACGTTAAGCCGTTGGTCCCGGCTGCATCTGCAGTCGTTAGCACCCGCCAATCCGCATTGGGCCCGCGTGGTGGGTCATGGCCCTATCTCCCTATTCCATCCATAGGGGAGGCCTATGCCCCAGCAGTGGGGACATTAATAGGCTGATGATGATGATGATGAGTTAGAAAGCCAAATTAAGTAATTCGAGCAAATAAGCTCATTTTCATTATCTTTAGTAATAATTACATCATTGAGAAATTACGTTTACATTGGTTTAATAAAGTTATGGTTAGTTGATAAAATTATGAAACATATAATATTGGTGTCGATTCTGGCATGATTCTCTAAAACTACACTTAAATTTGACAACAGTGGTGCCAATTCTGGCGTGATTCTCTAAACTTAAAACTAAATTTAACACCAGTCTCTCCTTTTCATTCTGTATAGAGAATGACAAGGATATACTGCTGTCAAATTTAAGTTTAGGTTTAGAGAATCATGCTAGAATCGACACCAGTCAATCCTTGTCATTCTCTATACACAATGAAAGGGAGAGACTGATGTTAAATTTAGTTTTAAGTTTAAAGTTTCATGCCCGAATTGTCAATATAGAATAAACAAACGAAATTTTGTGTGTTTGTTAATGATAATAAAGAATAGCCTACCTACACGTTCGCTTGACATTTGCATAACGTTTCTTGATGACCTTTGGGTCTGATTACTTCACCAGAGCAGACCTTGGCTGGCGAGCCGACAAAGTAGGTAGATATATAAAGCCAATCTGGCTATGTTAAAAACAACTTTTTGATATATTTAGAGGTACTTTAAACATGTTATTACGTATTCATTTTATTTTAATCATTATATTATTTGTAGAGACCTACTTACAATTTACTGCTTGAAGTAAATCTTGACAGAATTTGGTACTACGAAATTGGAGATTGTAAGTACGGGGTCATCCATAAATTACGTCACACGAATTTCATGTCTTTTTTGCCCCTCCCCCCGTCCTTGTCACAGCTGGTCACATTTGTAAGACTCCCCCCCTCCCTAGTGTGACGTCACATATTTTGCAAATTTACATTTAGAAATCATTGAATGAAAACAGCGGTTCTGTAATCAGTTTTATTTCCATTTAAATTGTTTTTTCATTATTATTGTAATCAAATCAAACAATTAACAAAACAAAAAAACGATTAATTATATTTATTAAAGAAATTACCGAACAAAAAGTGATTGACTATGTTAATTAAAGATACAAACTTAATAATCTTGAGTCCATGGACATTGATCCAACTCCTTTAAATTATTTATAACTGGCATAGCACCACTTTGTTCTCGTTTGGGTTGTTAATGCTTTCGTAAAGTAATAGTTTCAACACTTAGATTTTAATATATTTTGAAATGTGACGTCACGAAATTTAGGACCCCTCCCACCCCTTGTCACAGGATGTCACATTTCGTCGACCCCCTCCCTACCCCTTAAAGTGTGACGTAATTTATGGATGGCCCCTACCTACAATATTGTTACTTTCATAAAACATTAAAAAACACAATTTAGAAATTTCTGTTTAAGTAGAGATATTATAAAAAAAGGGGAAACATTTCTGTCATCAAATCAATTGTCTTCATTAGTTCCACAGTTCACAGCGCAAAATCATAAATCAGAGTGATGTTCAGTTTTAATGTTACGATATTCGACCTTAAATTTCTGAGAATAAGAACTACTGCTGCCTCGGGTGATGTGTTATCACAAGTGCGGCGAAGAGAACTCTTTGTTACAGTGAAAGCAGGAAATATGTTATATAAGCTATTACTACAATTACCTACGTGTGTTTGTTTCGAGTTCAAACAGATATTCCTTGGTAATACACTCAACTGTAATATTTTTAAATACTGCCGTACTGATCTAAATCTTTTTAGGTACCTATTTTATGATTAGTATGGGAGTGAAAAGCTCGATGGCGCAGTTGGATAGCAAAACCGATTATCGAGATCGTTAAAGTTAAGCAAACTTTCACAATGGTCGGTCATTGGACGGATGACCAAAGACTTATTATCTCAAGTCCATGCGTACTTCGGAAGGCACGTTAAGCAGTCGGCCCCGGCTGCATCTGTGGTCGTTAGCACCCAGCAATCCGCACTGGGCCCGCATGGTGGGTCATGGTCGCAGTCTCCCTACTCCATCCATAGCGAAGGCTGTTCTCCACAGCCGGGCCATTAATAGACTGATGATGATGATGGGAGTGCAATTATGTTGACAAAAAGGCGTCACTCGATTTCGAATGGTATAGATACAACAATGTAGGTAAAGATCAAACACAAGAATGGAATCCGAAGCTACGTGGGAAAATTGAGAATTCGCTCGTGTTGCTCTTGCTCCACTGGGACGGGGAACGGGGAGGCTCTATCTCTGTACTAAGGCGAGGCGAGTAGCGAGATTCTTCGCCCAAGCTGGTCCAAGCTTAGGCTCTACCAATCTATCAATGAAATGCACAGAACAGAAAAAAAGATAGTCCGAATTAAATACGTCTGTATCGTTAAATATTTTTTTGGTTTAAAAACTAATGAAAATTAATGCACAGATTAGTAAAAAAATACTTTGTTTATGTTTAGTGTTTGATAGTTATCAGATGTTAATAATTAATACACATATTAGTAAAAAAATACTTTGTTTCTGTTTAGTGTTCGATAGTAATCAAATATTAATATTGATGTTAAACTCATGCGCGCTTAACAAAATTATTCGGTCGCGCATCGATAGTGTAAATCGGACCGCGTTTCAACATGGCGTTACGTCAGCGCCGCGCCGTCAGCCCACAGCTGTTTGATAAATGTCAAAGATTTCGCGAGTGAGAAGAAAACACGTCAGTTTTGTAGTTTATTAAATGAAAGAACATTAGATAGATTTCATTTTGTTTAGAATTTAGGGCAAATAATCACAGGTGTGTTTTGGAGTATTAAATTGTGTGAATTCGTTTAAAAGCAAGTCTTAAGTAGTTGATTTTACAATTTGGTGTTTACACCGGTAACAGAACGGGTCATTTGTGGTTATTAGCACTGTTTTATCAATCTTTTCAGGTTTGTGGCACTATGATGAGCAACAGAAAATGTTTATTTAAAATCATAATTTGCTTACTTAGCTTGCCCGCCGTTTTGTGTGATATTAAACCGCCAATTCTGAATCCCGGCATACTTACACCGACAAAGACCCTCGGTGAGTGCCAAGCATGCAAATTGTTTGTGGATTCTTTCAAGAAAGGTCTAGAACGCACAGCTCGAGGTAAATATGAAGGTGGCGATGCAGCTTGGGAAGAGGAGAAACTTAAAAAGTCTTATAAAAGAAGTGAAATACGTTTAATTGATATACAAGAAGGAATATGCAAGGAAGAGAATGGTTATTCAATGCAATGTCACAATATGGCTGAAAAAGCTGAGGAATTCATTGAGTCTTGGTGGGCACAGAATCCAGATGAGTCTGCAGATTTGTTTACTTATATTTGTGTAGAGAGTTTAAAAACATGTTGCCCTAAACACCATTTTGGGAAGGACTGTACCCCATGTCCTGGTGATCATGGAAACTTATGTAATGGCAATGGAAAGTGTAGAGGAGATGGAACAAGGAAAGGTAATGGTACATGCTTATGTGACACTGGATATGCAGGAGAGAACTGTGACCAATGCGTCACAGGTTATTATTTATCATTTAAAGATGATAATAAGATGAAATGCTCCCCGTGTCACAGAGCCTGCATGGGAGGGTGTCGTCATGGCACACCGAAAGATTGTGTTGCATGCAAGCCAGGATTTGTATTTGATTCTGACGAAGGTTGCCTTGATATAAATGAATGTGATGATGTGAACCGATGCAGTAAAGACCAATTCTGTTTGAACTCTATTGGGTCGTTCACATGTATGCAATGTGACAAGTCTTGCTCAGGATGCCATGGAGATGGACCAGACATGTGCCGTAAATGTGCAAGTGGCTATTCTAAAAAGGGAGAATTTTGCATAGCAGACAGAGAAGATGAAGATTCTTCTGACAAATTAACATTAACAAGGTAATTTATTTATATTAATAATTTATTTAATGTATTATATTCTGAGGGTGGTAAAGGAGCATACTGTGTGCTTGATGGGGAGTGGCTACCTCAACTTATAAACACCTGCAACGTCTGGGGTGAGACCTGTGTATTGCCAATTTACATACAGTGAAACTCCGGAAAACTTACTAATGTGTGTGTTTAGAAATGTGGTAGGTTATTTTACCAACAAGTGCATCGCTTTTATTTGAAGAGAAAAAATAATTTGTTACTATTAATTTTATATTTTCTTTACTTATGATTTGTGTTGATTTCAAATACTGATATTTTTTTACAGAAATGTCGAGCTGTAATGCCCCTAGGAAAAGTTTTATAAGTGTGATAGGTAAACCTAAATTTTTGTTTTTGGTGATGGGATAATTTTAATAGCTTATTAGTTATAGATAAATAAATAATAATTTTATGAAATATTGGTATTAAATTTATTTTGGGATAATGGTTACAAATTTAAAAGGTGGTATTAGCAGTAGTTTAAATTCTGATACGACATTTATATACTTGGTATTATTTGGGACTGAATTATGTATTATTTGTATATTATATTTTATATATATTTTTAAAGTTTTTAAATATTGATGATTCTAAAGTTAATTATAATTTTATGAAATTTGTTCTATGTAATACAACACTCAAACTAACCTTTTTAACATATTATTTTACTAACTTTGGTCTTACATATATTCATATTTTAAATGCAATATCTATATAAAAGTTTATTATTCAAGGTACATGACTTATGTCGGCTTACTCATTGCAACAGGGATCCTCTTACCAAAATCTACTTCTCTTGGGAGCTTCGTAGGTGCAATGGTGTTGTCATACATTGTCGGTGCAGAATACTATTGTATGATAAATGGACATGAAGGTCTTGTTAATTTGAAAGAATTTGATTTAATGCAGCTATTCCGTACATAAATTATGTGTGTACATATTTTGAATGTTTGCCTTGGTGGTGACATTTTGATTTTAAGTAAATGGGTCTTTAATACATGGATTATAGCTGTGGAAAAGTAAAAAATCATTGTGACAAATAGTGAGTAATTAGTTTTTAAGTTATATAATAATGTGATATTCTTTTTAATTTGATTGTTTTTGTAATCGGTTCTTAGCATACATTTTTTGGTTCACAACATATTAAGCCAAACCTTAAGATTCCTCACTAGTTAATAAAATAATAAGATGTATTATGCAGTAAGTGAAAGTGGGTATTCACTTGCACGGTAATAATTTTAATAACCCAATGATGATGATTAATTTATAAGTTACCTAGTATAAATTGTATGAACATGTGCGTTTCAAGGTCATTGGTTGTTTACTATTATAACTATGTGAAGCATGTTAACAAATCTTCTTAATTAAGATTATTTGAAGTCTATCAGAATTACTGCATTCAATTGTTGCTATAAATTTTTTGGCAGTGAATCTTATTTGCTACGGTTTAAAGTTCAAAATCGAATATATGGACGCGTGAAGTCATGATCGTAAAATATCATAGGGATATATTTTCGCGCCATTTTGTAACATTCGAATGTTGTCACGCCTGTCAATATTCGATTATGCAGTGGCCGTGACACCATTTATGTTTGTAGTTAAGTGTACTAGACACTATGGGTTGGTGCGAGGCACAAGAGGTAGCGATTTGCCATTTAGGCATTATATTAAACTAGCAAACCAGTGAACCAAATGTTCACCAAAAAAATGTATTTAATTATTTGAGAACTTCGGAGATTTTGTGTGGTTTCGTTCGAAATAGAAATCACGTGATTTCTCGAAAAACCGGAAGTGCTACGTTACTCAAATCCGGTTTGTAGTCTTATCAGACTATTCTTAACTTATAACTTAAATATTCTCTTTACCTATCTCTTACGGTTTGGCCGCTGAAACAGCACCACGGACGGACGGACTTGTCTATTAGATAAGAGATTCAGTTCTGCCTTGCCGCCTAGCTTTCATCCCATCGAAGGATTTCACGATGCAATTATAACTTTTTGTATTTGTTATACATATTTATATTTTTAAGCATTTAAGTGCTGGATGTTCTAATTCGCCAGGATAGCGAAAATTCGGATGTCGTGTAAAACCTGGATTGAGTACATTTTTTTCTTAGTAAAATATTTTTTAGTTTTTTTTTTTATATTTAGTGTTAGAGCTAAATAATATTATGAATTTAAGTTCTAAACCGTTATTTCTTAAATTCAGTAGTTTAATTGACTTGAGATGATATTGAAACAATGGTTACGGTTTTTCATCAACGTAACATAACCAAACCTCTTGTTTGAATTTGAGCATTTAGATGCGATGTTAAAGAAAGATATGTATTGTATAATTTATATTTATTACTTTTATAGCCGGATTACGTCTCACTGATGCCATGTTTGGTATTATTGGTTGGAATTAAAATATCTTTATAAACTATGATACTACACAGAAGCTTTTTTTAATTGTTAATCAAATTGGTACTTTATCAGAATGCTTTTGAAATATCCAGTAGCTTGTTACGTTACTTTCAATATTTCATGAGTAATAACTCTAACAGATTACACATTTACCAGTTACAGTATTTATTAAGTAACGTTTTCGTAATGTATTGAAAATTTAGGATATTATTATAAATTGAATTTGGAATAGATTGTTAAATTAAAGCATTTTTGTACCTATTTATATTTCTTGTGGCTTGCACATCAACCAACTTCAAGCATTAACCCACCAACATTATGTAACTTAATGCATAATACGTGTGTGTATGTATCTATTGATAATGTATTACGTATACTTAAGCGATGGTCTAAAGTTTGTATTTGTTACCCACTAAATGACCCATTAAAAAGCGTTCGAACACGTTTAGTTAATTTTTAATAGAACACGGAAGTTGATTTTTATATTGTCAATAAATATGTATGTATATTCGATTGTTTTTTTTATAATTATTCGGGATCTAAAATTGAGTAAGTCTTCCACGTGTTTAATTTGTTAATATAAAGTTTTATTGAACACTTCCTTTTATTATACTTTTTGTACCTTACCTACCTATCTGAAAATATAATTGTTTTTTACACAAATAAGACCTGCAAAAGGTGACCCCTTTGATATTTTTTAGCCTGCTCTAAGTTTTTAGCTGATGTATTAATTTCAGAACTCTTATAATAATATTATTTATTTTACTAAGTAATATTTTTTTAAAAAGTGTTTTTATTTTACAGTAGTTTTTATTAAGGTTAAGGTAATAAATACATCTTAAAGTAACATGTGTATAATTTTTCATATTTTTCTTTCGTAATCAGATGCTTCGAAAGGTGACCTTTTATCACCCATGCGCCTGATTGGTGTATGTATAATTTTATTAAAAATGTGCACTGTATTCCATAAAACAGAAAATTGTGAGTGTTTACATAGATATTAAGCCACGTTAGTGAGACTTTGACGTTATCCAGAAACAAATCAAAAAATCTACTGTGATAAAATTATATTACATTGTAACTTGACATTTGACTGTTGACTGTATGTTCGTAAAATGTCGTAATTGAAAATATCGTAGACACATTAAGATCCTGTCCTTGCCGGTAAGTTTGTTAGGAAATGGAATATTTTTTTAAATAAAATATTTTTTTACATATTTTTTTAAAGTTATAATAGTTAATATTAGGAGGAGTTTTTCTCTATATTTTAAAAAATATGAACAAACTATATCTTTATTAGTTAATATCACTATAGGTAATCCAGTGCATTATAAATAAATTATAAAACATTTACAATTTTAAACAACTAAAATTCGCAGTACCTACTAGCTCAATCATAGAAAATTAAATAATGCTCATTTGTTGGTAACAAGAACCTAGTAGTAGTATGAAACGCTAGATTTATTTACGAGTGGAAAGATTAAATCGCGACTTGCTTCGCGCGGTGCGACCAGTTATCCGGGCCGAGTCTAGGCTGTTTCATTGCGACAAATTATATTGCTCGAAATGGGAAGCGATGTATGGTATTCGTAGGATAGTATGAGGTTTAGGAATTCAGATAATCGTTGATTTTCTAGAGAGAACTAGATTGGAGGTAAGAAAAGGAAACCCGCTACTGTATTTTCTCTTCGGTGAGGTTTCAGGGTTCCACGAGGTAGGGGATTGGTTCAGGGTAGGCAACGGTGCGAGTGATGTTTTTGGTATCACAAATGTCTATAGGCTATGCAGTACCCTTAGCACAAATATCGAATTCGTAACGTTTGCGAGTCCGAAATGTCATTATCAAATTTGTACTGATTTTTAATTCGCGTTACGTACTTTGTGGCGCTTCTGTTCAAGTTTTTTTTTTATAGCTAGGTCCGACAAATGACTCCACCCCACCTGATGTTAAGTGAAGGTCCAGACGCGAAGATAGCTGATACAGCAGTTCTACCTGCCACACCACCCTGCCGGCCTGCATGTTGCTTCTTCACGCCTCTTTTAAAGGATCCCAGGTTGTAAGAGGGAGGGAACACGAGCGGGCAGAGCATTCCATTTACGGATAGTGCGACAAAGAAATGACAAATGAATGATGAAATGATTTCCATACAAGATTTGACGCTACTACGATCTCTAGGGATCCGTACCCAATCGGTAAAAATGGAACCATATTGCTGTCACTCTGTGGTCTGTCTGTCCGTATGTCACGAGTCTCTAGATCGTAAACGGATTGAGTTACAGAACTGAAATGTTGGTATATTATGTAAAATGGTTGCACAAATTTAGTTAAAACTTCCATAAAAAAAAACATGGAAGGTCCCATATCTAAATGAAAAGGAGACGATAATATTTGCGAAAGTCATTTGCGACTTCTGAAGGTGTTAAGGAAAGTATCTACCATATGTTCCATACCATTCGAATGTTATAATGAATTCAATAATTTAGAGTGATAAATGTGATGGATGTGTCGCTATACGTTTAATATGGGCATGGAGCAAGGATAACTTTAACAGCAGAGCAATGTTGTATTCGGTACAACGGCTACTAAACTACGCAACATTTTTTGAAGTGAATACTTCTTTAGCGGCGTTGTACACTTATTTGGATGGGTAAAAAATGTGAAACTCGCGTCAGGTTAAACACGTGGGCTGATCGCATCATGACACACAATAAAATTGGAAAGGTTGTTGACTTTCAATATATTGGACGAAACATAGTAAGATTTTATTTTATCGTATTATAATAATAAGTCTCTATCTAGGACGTCCACGTCCATGTGGCAGCTTTATTGCGAAGAAAATGCATTTTTTTACAATAGATGTCGCTAGGTGCGCTTAAATGTGATTCATGTAAGTTGATTTCAGAGAATAGCTCTGCTGGATTACTGTTGCTGAGGTGAGATGACCAAAATTTTCCAAACTCTGCTTACATGCTTATAAATCAGCACCTAAGGTCTATTTGGTTGGATTGGTGACAGCCGCTTGCTTCAGACCTAGCTCGATTATGAAAACAATCTGTATCTATATCTGTATGTAGCGTTTGTGAACGCGATTCGTTACACGTACTTACACAAAGCAAAAAAAACCTTGGCTCCTTACAATCTTTTATGAAATGAACTTATTGCTTATATGACTTAATACTTTCTTTTTCGAAAACAATATCTTTCTTTGAGAATATAGAATTCGAATAGTTATGATTATTTGAACTGCAATCAATTCAAAGGTTTTCGACAACCATCCTACATTATGTAACGTCTCAAATACTTTAATATTTACATGTAGGGCTACCAACATTTTTTTCTATCATATTTGATAGAAACTCATCATGTACTATATGAGTCGTATAGATCAAAGGCGGCAAAGTAGGGCGAACCAAATATTTGGCAAGTCAAAAAAAAACTGTTTAGTCTCGTCTTTAAGGGAGGATTTTTATAATTGACATTCATCATAACTACAAATCGTAGTGAAATGTCAATATTTT